TATATATATATATATATATATATATATGTATTCCTCATGGAGGAAAGTAAGATGTTTTAATTTTACACAGAGTTGACACACTTTCACAGCCCTTCTGTATTTTGTGTTTTCCAGTCAGTGAAGCTTTAACTTATTTTTCTGTTTTTGCCTTCAGCGACATTGTAAGTCAGCTCTCCTCGACGGCTTGTTGGAACGCCAGCTTCTTGGACCAAAGGTACATGAACGTCATCAGGAAGTACTTCTGAGTATTTACTGAGTATTCACTCTGTCACTGTCCCCAGTAACTGATTAAAGTAACACTTTACTGGAACAAATGCACAACTGTAAAATCATTTTATTAAGCCAAATGTTCTCAGACAGGTTAATAATTAATATGCCATTAAATATTTAGCTTCTAGTATTTTAATACTTTTATTTGGACCTTACTTGAAGTCGGCCTTGTAATCAAGTTGTTTATTTAAGTAAAAGACAAAAATCAAACAGAAATGAAATGGCTTTTTATAACCTGGCTGTAAAGTAATTACAAACCCATCATCCCTCAAAATAACTTTTATACCTGTTTTAGACTAAGATCATTTTGTGTTGAGAAAATATTAGTTGAGCAGGTTTTGGTCCTTCCTTTAAAAAAACAAACATAAAGTGATTATGAGGAGTTGGCTTCAATTAAACTTATACATTTCTCATAACATTGTAAGGAACAGTAAATCTGTTTCCATGTTGGATTTAAAGTTTCTAATTTCAGTCCTTCACGTTTTAAAAAGTAACATCAGGGTGGCTTTATCTGTAATTTACACCATGTGACGTGTGTTTTGATAAAAAGCGGCGTGTGTTGGTGTAGCAGCTCTTCGTCGAGTCACGGGTCACAGGTCGGTCGTGTGTTGAATATAAACTGAACGTCGGTGTTTTGTGCTTGAGCTTCCACAGATTGAGGTCTGATGTGTCTGTTGTGCTTCAATAAAACCTTTGCTCTGAGAAAGTCCAGGTTTAAACGTTCAACAGTGCGTCATGTTGGGGTTTGACGGTGTGTTTAAGGCCGTGCTCTGGTGAGGTAAATCACGTGGTGCGTTTACTGTCTTGGTCTTTAACAGTGAATCAGAGCGCTGTTAAAGAAGTTGCTTAAATCTCAGCTAATGTCATGCTCAGAAACATCAGAAAGTTGCTTCGGTCCAGTCCGGTGAACCTGGTCGGGCCGACCACATTGTTTAAAATTATTCTGACACATGTGAACACCAGTTCAGGTTCTGTTTTAGCCCACAGACATTTCAGGGATGTTTTTGTTCTTTTCTCTCAGTGATGACACTCATTTCAAAACCAACCCAAAGGCCCCAGGTATCAGTTTCAGCTCTGTCAGAACGCTGTTCGAGGCTCTCAGCAAACCGGCCTTTTCTGGACTCCTGGAGCAGGTATGACTCTTATGTTTTATCCGTCATCAGCCTTCGGACTCGAAACAGTTTGTTTTCTCAAGCTGAGCCACGGCAGTTGAAATAAAACGAGCCAGCTGTGAAGGAAGAAATCGTTTTTACGCCAGTCAAAATGATTTAAAGGCCTAGAATCCTTGAAGGAATCACGTGCTGCCTTTTACACAAAGTTCATCTTCTGTTGTCATGAAGGAGTTCAGCTGTTTGTGTTGGATAAAAATATCCTCTGTTCATAGGCTGGTGAAGATTCTGAGTCATCCAGGACACGATGAATCCAAAAGAAGGTTAAAGACAAAAACAGCTGGACTTTATTTTGTAGCTGAAGACGTTTCGCTTCTCATCCGAGGAGCTTTCTCCTGAGAAGGAACGGAGAAAGCTCCTCGGAGCTACAAAATAAAGTCCAGTTGGTTTTGTCTTTAACCTTTATTTTATTTTATTTTTTTGGGGGGGGGGGGGATCCTCTGTTCATCTTACTCAAAGAAGCCCCTCGAGGGTACGAGAAGACTTTTAACTTTACTTGCAAGGTTAGACGTTCTCCAGATTTACACAGAAGTATAAAAAATGTTCTGCATCATGGAGTCCAGTCATGAGAATCTGCGCCGGGCAGCGCACGAGGTTTGTTTTTATGTACGCTCAGCAGCTCTCGGCTCAGAGGCAGACCCTGATTACCTCGGCCTCCCAGCTGCACATGCAGGATCAAATCAGCTCCTTCAGAGCGAGAGAACAGAACTCTCTGGCAACTCAAAGTTCACATTAGAAGTGATAAAACGTCATTTTCAACAATCCCCTGACATTTTGAAATCATGTTGAGCACAGTACTGGGAGGTGTCGCACTCAAAGGGAAGTTGTGAGTGAGTCTCATCTACTACCACATCGAATTTCAGCTCAATATCCGTCAGTTTCTCTGAGTTATAATCAATTTTGTGTTGGCCAAGGTCAAATAGTTGTGGCGACCTTCTTGAAATAAATTGAGTCCAAAAGTTAAGGTGTAGATGTCTACTTCTGAAGATGTTACTTTCTGAAAGTTTCATTAAAATTAATTCATACAGTCGTGATATTTTACAGGTGCAGCCACAAACAGAGAAAAACTGTGTTTATACAGTTCCTTTCTATCTGATCAAGATACTCAAAGCTCTTTACAACAATCTGTGCCTCGTTTACCTCAACACACACATTCATAGCGAACTCTCGTGTTGGAGGACGACCGCTCTAACCACTCGGCCCCATCATGTGAAAAAAACATCATTTATCGAAAACCTCCGTCATATCCTGCTTTTCAGATTTTGACATGGAGCAATGATCAAATGTATATTTGGTTCGTTTAAAACAAGAAAAACAATTATTTTTGTCTCTTTTTTTTGAGCTGGGAGTAACGGTGTAGTGCAGCATTTCATGTGAAACCACTGGTTAATAAAAACATAGATTTGAGTTTTTGACGGTGCACAAAGTTCTTCCACAGACGGGCAGAAAAAAACGAGCAGGATTTCCGTAACTATTTGTGGCTCAGTAATTTTAGGTTTGGGAATTGTTCCACAGAAGCTAATATGAATCGGACTGAACTCAGGCCACACTCCAAACCACTAAAGCCTCCCAACATTTTCCTCCCTCTGTTTCATAGATGCACCTTTAAAGGATCTTTTAAATTTATTTACCAGTTTATATTTTGAATCCTAATCCAGTTTTGCAACGTTTGTTAGTTTAAGCTGCAAAGTAAAATGTGTAAGGTGACCTTTTGACCTTTTCTTGTCTTGTTCAGGTCACCAAGAGCTTTGAGAGTCTGTTGATCCCTCAGCTGCCGCGCTCCCCTCCTGATGTCGAGGCCATGAGAATCTACCTCATTTTGACCGAGTACCCAGCCCTGCGGGACTCCAAGAACTACATCCGCCTCACCATTCCCCTGGCGATGGCTATCCTCCAGCTAGACACCAACCCCAGCAAAGTATTGGGTATCATATTTCCATCCACATTCTAAAATTATTTTGAATCCAATCAAGTCATTTTAAGTTGATTTTGTGAATTAAAAATTAGAATCCCAATTCTCTCAAAGTGACGATGTGTAAAATTTTAATATAAACAGAACGCAGCGATTTGCAAATCTTAAAAAATTGTGTTTTACTCACAAAGAACTCGTTGAACGTACCAAACGTTTAATTATTTGAAAAAAATGTTGAGCACAATGTTGGAGAAGTCACGTTCAAAGTAAATGACTCTCAGCTACTACCACATTAAATTGTAGCATTTGATGTGCACGTTGATTTATTGTAGTGTCTCAGTATCAGTTACTGAGATGATCAAACAAGGCCGAGTGTTCCTACTAATCACAGATCCCTTTAAACTTCATTATTGTTGTCAGCT